GTGTGTGTGTGTGTGTGTTGTGAGGCTGAGAGCTCTTACGTAGTTTGGCTCTGAGACTCTGAGCAGAGTTTGTGATGGTGTTTTTAAGTAGTTTGGCTCTGAGACTCTGAGCAGAGTTTGTGATGGTGTTTTTACTGGCGATGCTTTAGCTGGCCATGAGATGTACAGGTTTACGAGCCTGTGTGGATCAAACACTGTACCGCCTGAGAAATGCTCTCTTAACATACACCACCACACAAATTCTCTGATTGCCATTCAAACCATCATTTTGGCACAAATGGTACTGTATTCCCCATATTTCTCTCAGGTGAATAAATCGTGGATACCGCGCTCACACACTCGTCAGTAGGTGGTTGGCAGAGAGAAAGCGTTTGCTTGCTCACATCTGCTCTGCACGTTCCTCACTCGTCTGGGTTTTGTTTTTCACAGTTTGGGTAATGATGGCAGGGCATGATGTAAAATCCATGTGTGCGCGCAAGTTGCCGCATGTGTGTATCGATGTGTGTTTACTACTGTAGTGAACACAGACGGCCCACTGTTTCCCTGCACCATAACTCTAGCTGAACACTTTGAAACAGAAAGATCGCACACGGACTTTAACAGCTAGTGCGTCGTAAAGGTGCTGGGGCCATAATACTGTATTTCACAGAATTATTGAGTGTTCCATCTTCTATAAAGTGAGAAAGTGTTATGAATACCTAAAGGGATTCAAAATGGCCTCATCATTTACTAGGGCTGCGTTGCAAATATCAATTAGTTGATTTTAATCAATCTTCTTTTTGAAAAATGTATATGGATTCTTAATAGTGGTGTCAAAATTAGCGCGTTAACGCAGGCGATTAATTTTTTCAGTTTAACGCGTAAAAAATATTTAACTCAGTTAACGCGGGGCTAGGCTTTGCCACGCTACTCACAACTGCTGCTTCAGTCACTTTTTCTCTTGACAAGAAGTGCATTTATTCAGTCGCAGAACCACTGAGAACGGGAGACGTTTCAGACGCGCGCTCCACTTCACTTCAGCGCCAGGCGCGAGTCAAACGAGTGCGGAAACGGTACTGTGCTCACAGTGCGTGCTCTTCAGTTGCACGCACAAAGGCGCCGGCGCGTGCTGTAGCCTGTATCCTTTCATATCAAAGCGCGAAATAAACTACGTGCATGCAATGTCGTGGTCAGTTAAGTCATGAAGTCACATTTAAGAACATGTGTCTGAAATGGTTTTCAAAACTCTCCTGGAGAAGCCCAGCACGGTCTCACTCATCTAACACACCCGATTCAACTCGTCAGTTCTTTAATAGAGACTTCAAGACCTGAAGGGGGTCAGAAAGGTAAAAAGAGTAAATATGATGCGTGTCAGATCCGCGTCACGTTCAGCAGCGGCAGCTCTTAATAAAATAACAGCCAAAACAACCTAATAACCAGCTGCTGTGATGTCTATTCATCAAAGGACAAAGAAAAAAAAGAAGGAAAAAATGAACTTTTATAGCTTTAAGGATTCATCTATATTTAATTTAGAATTTAGTGTTTGATAACTTCAATTTCAATTTCTGCTGAAGGGCACAGGTAAATATGACATTTATTATAATGGGTTTATGTGAAGATTGTTTTAAGTTCACTTAAATTAGAAGTTATTTTTTAAAGTAAATGTTAAAATTGGTAGCTCTCAACTATACTGTAATGTTGAAAGGCTATAGTCAATGGTTAAATATTGGGGGGTAAAACTTTAATGTTAGGTGGGATTAATCGCGATTAATTTCAGAAAAATGTGCGTTTTTTGTTTTTTGTTTTTTGTTGATACATGAATAAAATTTTACTCAACATTATACAGAACATCACTATAAGCGTTGGAATAAGCTCTCTTCCTTTTTTTACTGGTATTTCATAAAATCAACATGAATGAACATCAGAAGCTATGTTGAAAGAAACAGTATTGTTTATTGCAAAATATATCGTCATGTAATCACTTAGTCAACGTGACATCAGTAGAACTTATACAGTATACAATGTCATGTAACATTTAATGTCCATACTTTAGAGAGGAGCATTTTGCTAAAAATAGCACATATTCATTATATGTTTACATAATCTGTTCTTTCTTAAGGCTTTCATTATTTAATGCATGTTTGAATAAATCTGTCATAAAGTCAGGTTTTATGACAACCACCATTTGAATGTTGTGCAATTTAAATGTTTGTATACAACTCGATTTTTGGTTGTTGTCGATTATTATATCTAAAAATAAATAGCAATTTAACTTTAATATTTTAATTTGTATATTATACTGTACCAACTGACAGGTTACCTGTATAGTTTAGAGCTTTACTTGAGACTTCTTTCTTAAGAAAAAATGACATTTACTGTACCTGATATATATCCAAGTGAATCGATATTGAATTGAAATTGGAAACAAATCAAGAGCTTGTGAATCGAATTGTGAAAACTGTCTCAATACCCAGCCTTATAACACACCCTCATGTTGTTCTAAACCTGTATGACTTTAAAAGATGTTTTTGAACAATGTTCTATACTATATTTTACTATACAGTAAAAGCATATAGTAAACAGAGGCTGTCAAGCTCAACAAAGACCAAACAGCATCATAAAGTATTGTAAAAATGGTCCATGTGCCTGTATGCTGTTTTTTTCAAAGACGTTTGAAGTCATACAATAGCTTTAAAGCAATATATATATACTGTATCGATGTGTACTATGTGTACTCTGAAAAGTGTTACAAATAAATTTGGGTTTGAGTGATAAACAGGCCAAAATTTACATGAACATTCTTCAAAACATCTTATTTTGTGCTAAAGGCAAGATGTGTAATGTGTTCGGAACAACATGAGGGTGACTAAATGATGACGGTTTTCATTTTTGGGCTAAAAATCCGTTCAGATTTCTTTCTTTTCCTGTTTTCATTTCTCCTTTCTTTTGCTGAGAGTTTCAAGAGAAAACTGTCTCTGCAGGTTGTGAGTGTTTTGCCAGTGTTTGATTTCACTGCCCTGGGCTTTATTTTCTATTGCCAGTGACTGTAATATTGCTATTTTTATGAGAGAGCAAAATCTGGTCATTGAGACTTGGTGGTCGTGGCATTGATGAAACCACAGCTTTCTCTGAGTCACGCTGGGACGACGGCTGTGTTTGTGTGTGACGCTCTGGACGTCTCACTGGGCTGTTCAGGTTTTCATAAAGATTCCAGCACTTTCCTAGAACTACTGTCTCCAAACTCACACACACATTGTCTGCCACAGTCTGTCCTGCTGAGAAATGCCTTTCATTTCCGAGATTAATGATTACCGTGGTCCTCAGTCTCTCCAGAGTGCCAGCGAAATCAATAAATGCCATGGCGAATCGTTCTTTCTCTCCACCATACTCCGTTTACTTTCATTTCCACTTTCTTCCCCTGTTCTGTGTTACTGCCTCTGCGTATGTTGGAGGAAAACAGATATAGATGGAGTATAGAGGGAAATAAATCAGCATTGTTAACCGAAGTCTGTCTCATGACTGACTAGTCCTCATCTCCCTTCCTCAGTTAATTATGTTTTTCTCCCAGTGTGTTGTTTTGTGGTAATGAGTACTTGGCTTGAGTTTAAAGGCTTGAGAATAGTTAGCATCACTCCGCTTATGACCCACTACAGTTTTGATTTGACTTCATTTAACTTTTCTCTCGCTCTGAGTAACTGCGGCAATCTTTTTTTTTTTTTT